TAAGAAACGGGAGTAATAACTCCTTGTCGTTGAAGGCGATGCAGCTCTTCATCTACTGTTGCTAATGTAGCATACGGTACAGGTCTCTTTGGACGAAAAGCAGGCTTAGCCCCATGTTTCAACCGAAGTGTTGCTTTCATAGCAGTGCACCGACCTAATCCAGGTTCAAAAATGGTTGAAAACTCCGTCATCAGCTTCTTCGTATACGCTTCTGGGTCATGTCGTTGTGATACCAGGTTGCATATGGTATTTAGCGGGACACCAGCCAATTTTAGCTGGTCGAACCAATCTAAACCAAGTAAATTTAGATCAGCTGGCGTTATATAGCATACCCCAGTAAACGACGAATCTCGGAAAGCAACTTTACATTCCAATTGTCCTAACAGATGAAGGTAATTACCACATGGTGTACGAGGCTTTTGTGTTGTGTGCTGCAGGCTTGGGCTGCCCAATTTGGTCCAATTTTTGCGTGAGAGGATAGTGACATCAGATGCAGTATCTATTTGCATTCTACACAAATAACCGTTAATATTAAGAGTAATAAATTTCCTCTCACCTGGTGATGAGCTTTGGCAGGAAGATATTAGGCTCAATGCATTGGTACTGGATCTAGGAACAGGCTTCTTAGCACTTCTGGATCGCTTTGGCTTTTTCTGTAGGCAAAAGTTATCTTTATGACCGATGACTTTACACTTCCTGCATCTATGCTGCCTAAATGGGCAGTTCCGTACATAGTGCCATGAGCCGCAGTGCCAGCAAGCAGAAGGGGGATTCATTTTGGGTTTTTGGGCAGAATTGGAGCGGGATGAACTGGGTGTAGCATGGGCAGGCTTATTATGATAAGGTGGCTGCTGTACCAAATGAATTTCAGATCGGCATGAACTACCACTCTGCACTATCGTTGAGTCTCGTTGTAGGTTAGTGAGACGTTGGTACTCCTGAGCCATATCATTAAGCGTAAGCTTTGGATCTTGCTCCAAACGACTTAGTAGCCTTGTTCTAATGTCACTGAACTTACTCGACTGGAGGCTGCAGATGTGTATAAGGGCTTTGAACTGGTCTTCCGACAAAGACTTCAACCGAAAGCGTTCGCATTCACGGTTGACGATGCCCACGTGCGTAAGAAAATCATCATCTTCGTTCATAATTAGCTTCAAACATCGATAACGAGTATTAACTAGTGACGAGTTGTCTCCAAAGTGTTGGCTTAAAGTCTGGACAGTCTCAGAAAACGAACAATCTCGTGGGTTCAAAGGCAGGATCAAATTACAGTACTTATCCAGCTCACTTGCGCCCAACTTTCGAAGTAGCAGCCGAACCTTCCAAGCATCATCTTGGTTGGCGAAATCAAATTTAAATAAATCTTCATAACGCCGGAACCACATGTCAAAAGTGACATTTGCATCAGGATCATAATGAAATTCAGCTATGCTATTTGCGATGCCGTCGACCGATGGAGCTGTGGTTGCATTAGATGAGCTGGGCTGCGTGGAAGGGGAAATCTTCATGTCTGTCAACATCTGCATCAGTTTCAGCTGCTGCTCAAGTAGTAATTCAAGTTTGGCAGGATCCATATTTCCAAAAGCACCGTCGCCACTGATAAGTTCGTCATTTAGTATGCTTGAGGCTATTACGAGTTTACCTTAGTCGATAAACGCGAACGAGACTTTTACCAGCTTCCAGGGAGGCTACCTTGAATCCGCGGCTGAATTGAAAAGGCTTTGTAAGCGTAGAAAGTATATTCTACAAACACCCAGCAATCACAGTACAACCAAGCATACAACTCTCGTTTATTTATACAACATAAGAACGTCCTTGAGACAGTTAAGAAAATAGCATACTAAAATACACTGCAGCCAATCACAGCCATTGATTTTGCTGGTGGGAATTGAAATCTCAAGGTCATCTGATCAGCCCATGCTGGCGAAACGTGAAAACCGAAATACGGCATTATCAAGCGAATTTTGGGGATCTAACATCCCCAACAACAAGCAGAATTTGTTACTTTGGAAAAGTACTACTCTACATATATTTATATAAATAAATAACGATGATTTGGCGGGTTTTTTGAAAAATTCATGAGGACGTATTCAACTATGTGGAAGAAAGAGTCTTACGAGTTCAAGAATTAATGAAATAATTTACCTAGTGACGCAGTTTGTGGTTGAGAGTTTGTGTGATTGTAATGTAGTAGTATTCCCCCAAGAACTGAAATCCTCATCTAATAAAATATAGTAAAGCATATAGTACCAGAGAACTATTTTTCTCTTGTTCGAAACTTCTAAACCTTAGCGGATTAACTCTATACACAGTTAAACCACGTTATATTTATAGTTTATTTGGTATGGAATTTGCAGTGGAATCCAAGACACCAATTTCATCCTAATTGAAGCGTACCACCTGCCCATACTCACATCTCAGTGTTACTCTTCTTCCTTTAGTATCTGTTATTTTAAATTAGTGACCACCTCGACTTAGTAATTCACTGGATTATGGATGCATTGATGTTTGAGTTTGCTCCTCAATGTGAGCATCAATGCTGATATAGAATCAAATTCACATGGCGTATGTCAAATAAGATTAAATGAATATATATATATATATATATATATATATATATATATATATACCATTCAGATGAATTCCAACTTATTAAAAATGAAATTTAAACAATCGTGCAAAAGATTCATGATCTTCTATCCGTTCAGTTATCGATCCTGTTCTTACTTGAATCAATTAATTCTATAAATTAAAAGCGTATTGAATATAACACTATTTAATACAAATTATCTCAGAAATTAGGCGTTCACGCTCAATAATGAAGGTCCTGGGTTCGATTCCTGTGAGTATCAGGACTCATGGATGAACACGAATGATGAGTCCCATATCAGGACGAAACAGCCGTCCAATGCTTCCAGGTTTCTAATGGTGATCAAACAATGATTGATTCATGAATTCAATGTAAAATTGTATGTATAATCAAATAAAGTTTACATCTGAACAATTAAAAATGAACAACTTAAAGAAAAGAATTTGTTGACCATATTTTTTTCTTAAAAATCTGTTATGTTTATTTTGTAAAATTTCATTCAAATGTCTATTTAATAATCAAAAGTACATTCTCTTTTTCATTAATTTAGGCAAAAAAAGCTGTAAGTTAATCACATAGTTATATTATATATATAACTGTTCACTACTTATAAGTAATACAATTTCATGTCTTTTGTATTGTTGCTTTTGCTTGTACAAAATATTTCAACTTTAAAACGTATCAAACTGATTTCTCTACAATTATTTATGTCAATTTCTTTTATGTTTTGTTAGTTGAAACGTGATCGATAAATTCATTAGTGTAAAAAATTAACAAACGTGATGTCAATCACTACTTAGGGATATTCATTTTATAAGGGTGTTCATTAACCCGAACTGTGATGCCGATCGAGTGTATGCTATGAAATTAATCTTCCTTTCCATTTCTGTGTATCATGCTTAGACAAATCCTGTTTGTGAGACGAACTAAATATCGATTCAGTTGGATAAATTGATTTCATGCATTCATTTAAGTAGACAGACATGAGAATGGAAAGCGTACAGGCAAAGCGAAGCGAATTGTCGAAGGCGAATGAGCCGACTTAATGCCATGAGGCATGATTAAGCATTTATAATAGTCAGGCAAAAATGAGCTAGACATTCGTTAAACGAAGCTATGAGAGAATAATTGACAAGGTCAAAAGGCATGCGAATAACTCATAAAGAATTAAATTGACTCGTCCAAAGACTGGGACGAACCCTATGGGCTCGATATATTTGTACACACACACTACAGGTGAATATCATTAAGAGTGATTATTAATAAATTATGAAGACCATCAAAATAAAAGTGTGACAAATCTGTTCCATTCACCATCGACTCCTTTGCTTTTATAACCAATCAAAAATGTAGAAATGTGGGGCTGTTTTGTGGTCCCGCTTTTAATTTTACTTGTATTATCGTGAACCATTATCAAGTGATTGGTTAGTGTGGAAATTCTAGCCCTCCATGGTGAAAATCGGTGTTTAGTGGGACTAATGATAACATCTCTCGAGGAAACACATTTAAATTCCACTAGGAGAGTTATTTTACTCAACATCCCATATATTCACTTACTAAAAAGCAACTAAAAGCATTTATGTCAATCATTCTATCACAATTACGTCTACCACCAATATAACGGTATTCTATGACCATTTTTATGGTATGTATCACTTAATCACACTGCAGTTTTGGAAAAAAAGAAAGCTTAAAACCCTGGACTATGCAGATTTTGACCAAATAATAAATGATAGATATCGATGGGGAACAAAATTGGTCAAGATTTAGCTTACCTCTCTGAGGAAGTAGGTATCCATTAGCAGTTAAAAATTTGGCTCCATTTTCTTAAGGGAACAGATGTACATTAATGAACTGGTTGTACCAGCGTTTTCTGACTCAATTAATTAGCTCATAAAAGCTCATTCCTCACCCATGATTTTCCTATTCAAGTACCTTTATAAAAACACTAATGATTAGCAGACTAAGAAGATCGCACAACATTATAGAATGCTTAAGCTACATTCCTTTTTAACTCGATAACAATTTTGCGTAATTCTTGCAAAATGACTATCAAAATTTGGGAACAACCAAAATGGAACAATGTTCAATTATAAGTGAACACTCTGTTTAGTAGAAGCTTTGAATCAAACTCAAATACTTATTCACTACTTTTTGATTTCTAATCTTCCTCTGCCAGATGTTAGTTCCTAACTAACATCATTTCCAAACAATTTGATAGGAACTAGTTGAACAAATGTTTTGAAATATCTAAAGCATACATTCTACTATATAAATTGAAACTAGTTGAATCTGAATGTTAAAGTTGTTCAATTACTCTTTACTACATACAAACAAATCAAACTCTAATTGAATCTTGTAGCTATTCATTAAATTCGCTGTTTTTTTTCTTAAATTTTATTTGTATAAGGGCATTAACATTGAACCGGATCCATTAGCAATGTATACATATTTTACACAAAGAGTTAAAAAACACTTACATATTGTACTGGTAATGAGTCCGATTGGTGATGCATTTCGATCACGGTTACGTATGTTTCCATCATTGATTAATTGTTGTACGATTGATTGGTTCCATGTAAGTTGACTGCATAATCTTTTTTCTTTTCGATTTTCCGATTAACTACTGATTCTAGAAAATTCTCATTGCTCCTCACACTTTCATTTCAATGTATACTTAAGTTAGTTGTCATTTGAAAACAGAAGACAATTGTTTTTTACGTGGGATAATAAAAATGAATATTGATTTCTGTGACAAATAACTGACTAATCACAAGGAGGCTTTTTTCTTATTGTTCAGTTAGTATTGATCGTTCATCCTCTATCCATTAATTCAACTATTGTTTGAACTGTTAAACTATTTTGTGAAGCTATAGAACTTTTTTTCCATTTCATGATCACCATGTTAATGAGTTAGCTCTTAGATGATAACAAAACAATGTTACAGATATGAGAAAAATAATGGGATAATAGTAAAGCTGAAGGTCAATATTGAGGATTTTCTGGCTCGCAACTTATGATAATTCATGAAGAAAATCCTATCATTATTAAACTGTTCTTCACAAATTTCTTGAATGAATCATCCTTATGTTTAGAACATTAAGATTACTACTAAACTGTCATCGATAATTTAAAAAGAAAGTGTTTACTCATGCTTTTAAAATTCAACAGTTATTGTTAAATCTTTCAAAGAAAGCCCACTTAGGAATAGGTTTTACGTGAGTTTATACACATTTAAAGGAGTTTTTTCTCCGAGTTAAATTGAAGTTAGCTACTGTAAGAAGGAATATTAAGTAACAGAGTTTCTGAAGTTCATTTCAATTCTCAAAAGAAATTTCAAGGATAGTATTTAGACTGCATTTTAACAAATATATAAATTGTTTTCAATCAACTTTGTTAATTGCTTCCAAACTCTTAAAAATAATGATATTTTGAAATCATGAATCTAACAATGTTAGACTATAGTTAGAAACTTGGAACCATTGGTCGGCCGTTTCTTCTTGGTATGCGACTCATCAGAAATGAGTATTCACTACTACCACTGCTCACATGAATGGCATCCAGGACATTTGGTCTTGCGCACGAACGCCTAACCTCTAGACCACTGAGCCAGCACCAAACGGTGTTAATGTCTAACTTCAATAAAAGTAACTCAACAGTCTCTCTAACCCTATGGCGAAAATTATCTTGTGTTCACTAGTGACCAGATAAGTGATGATTTTTCTCCGAGTTCTAATGAGAAGTGATGACCCGTGGAGTTCAACTCTTTTCAGGTGTGAAGCAGTGCTGTGAGAAGACAGTAGATGAAGTTGCTCCAGACCGTGCAAACGATTTAAGTTAGACATTAACACCTTAGGATGCCAGCTCAGGGGTCTGAAGGCCAAGCTTTTGCATAAGAGACCAAAGGTCCTATGTTTAACTTTTGCAAGTGAAGGCTGTGGATACTCACTGCTAGTGAATTCCATACCGGGATGAAACAGCCGTCTAGTGCATCCAAGTTTCTATTGGTATTCTAAAATTGTTCGATTCATGATTTCAAAGTGACTCAACAATCTCCACCACTCTATAGTGGAAATAATGATATTGTTTTTGGTTTTTTGGTCAACATTGAACTTTTAAAACCAGTCTTGCTTATTAATGTTTTATTCGTTTGGTTTATGCAATATCCATTCGTAAAAGTCAATTTCTCTAATGATAACAATAAATCCAACTGAGAAATAATCATTTATTTATTCTTTGTTGTGTATAATAATACAAATATTAATGAATAATTAAGGTCTGGCCTGAAGATGCTCTAGAAATGGTTGCAAATAAATATTTTGAAGATATTGAATTTGAAGAAAATATACGTGAATCCTCTGTTACATTATGTAAATATTTTCATGAAAGTGTAAGAAAATTAGCAGAAAAGTAAGTTGATTTAACTAATGTATGTTTTTAATTTATTCTTGATAGCCTTTGCCTGTTTTTTGCCATGAAAATCGTTGTTTTACATTGAAATCATAGATCATTCAAACCTTGGATGCATTGGACCGCCGTTCCATACTGGTATGGAACTTGTCAGCAATGCTCATCCACGGCTCCCGCAACTCACGTAATTTGAACACAGGACGATAGTTGATTCACAATTTCAGGGAAAAACGATGATCTCCACAACTCTATAATGAAAAATCATAAAATGTGTTCACTATGGAAATTCTCAGAGTTCTAGTGAGATGTGGCCAGTGGCGTGCGAGCCTGTCGAGTATAAGCAGTAACTACCGAAGACAGTAGGTGAGGTTTCGCAAAATCCTTAGATTAATCAGAGTTAGACATGAACACCGTTGGATTTTATATTAAAAGTTTGTGCAAACTAGCTCAGATTGATCAGAGTTAGACATTATTGTCATCTAGAGATTAAGCGTCCGCGCGTAAAACCGAATATTCCGCGTTTGATTGCTGCGATCAGCAGGAGTCATGGGTGAGCCCTATTGATTAGTCCCATACTAGGATGTAACGGCCATCCAGTGCTTTTAAGTTTCTAATGATGGACTAACGATGACTGATTCACGATTTCAATTGTCAGAATTAACAAGATAATGTTTTTTAGCATTTGTCAAACTTTTCTGTTAGTTTCTGGTTAAACTATCATCAGAACTAATATTTGTATAATTTATTATTTTTTTTCTTTTCTATTAATCCTTCCCCCACAAAAAAAACAGATTTTTAGAAGTACTCTGTCGACACAGTTATATCACACCAACATCATATTTAGAAATGATACAAACATTTAAAAAATTATTACATAAAAAACGTAATGAATTAACCACCATGCGTAATCGTTATTTAATTGGTTTAGAAAAATTAGGATTTGCTGCTAGTGAAGTTGGTAAAATGCAAATTGAATTACGTGATTTACAACCATTACTTATTGTGACAAGTGCTGAAACAGATGAATTATTAAATAAAATAGCTAAAGAATCTGTTGAAGTTGAAGCTCAACGTGAAATTGTCGCCTCGGATGAAATGATTGCGAATCAAGCAGCTACTGTATCAAAATCCATTAAAGATGAATGTGAATCTGATTTAGCTGAAGCAATGCCATTATTAAATGATGCATTGTCATCTTTAGATACATTGAAACAAAGTGTGAGTTGACCTTTTTTATTTACGGGCAGGTTTATATTTCATTTTGTATTAGTTTGTTGAAATCTTTCGTATTGATATATACGACGACTACAATTGATCAAGTCTGTTTGGTATATTATGTGAGCATCCTCAAAAGATTGTTTCAATGTTATCTGTAAGTTTTATAAGCATTATTAGCAAAGATGTATAGTGGGATTGCAGTAGATCCAGGAAGCGCGTTTTGTCTTATTTAGGACTACTTGTCTGTAGCTGAATGTAACTGCGCTTCAGAGCTGATATTTACTCCGCAACCATCAGATTAAAAAGTAGGATACCTGATCAAAATACCAAAGAAAGGCGATTTCAGCAAGTGTGAGAACTACAGAGGCATCACTCTTCTTTCAATACCAGGCAAAGTCGTCTACAGGATATTGTTAAACAAAATAAAGGACTTCCTATACGCTCAACTTCAAGATCAACAGGCAGTATTTCGTAAGGATCGGTCGTGTACTGAACAAATTGCTACATTACGGATCACTGTGCAACAATCAGTTGAATGGAACTCACCACTCTACATCAACTTCATCGACTACGAGAAAGCATTCGATAGCGTGGACAGGAAAACACTGTGGAGGCTTCTTCGACACTATGGTGTGCCTGAGAAAATAGTCAACATCATACGTAATTCTTATGATGGATTCAACAGCTAAATCGTACACGAAGGACAGCTAACAGACTCTTTCGACGTGAAGACCGGTGTCCGGCAAGGTTGCATACT